TGTGAACCACTGCACCTGGCCTTAACAGTGTCTTTCAATAAGCTGTTTTTAACTTTGATAAAGTCCAGTTTATCAACTTTTTCTTTCACAGTTCATGCTTTTTGTGTTCTCTAGAATTAATCTTTGCCTACTCCAAGGTCATAAATGTATTTCCCCTATATTTGCCTTAGAAGCTTTATAGTTTAAGCTTTTATGATCCATCTTGAATTATTCTTTGTGTATGGTGTGAGGTAGGGGTTGAGGTTTGGGACTTTTTTCTCCTAATTGTTGAAAAAATTTTCCTTTTTACATTGAATAGCCTTGCTGTCTTTGTAAAGAAAAAAAAAAAAAACAATGTACTCTATATATGTGAGTCTGTTTCTAGACTCTATTTGAATCTATTGATCCATTTGTCCACTCTTCTCCCAGATATCACTATCTTGCTTACTGTACCCTTTAAGTTTTAAAATCTGGTCCTTTAAAGTAAGTTTTAAAATCAGGTAAATTTTCCAACTTTGTTTTTCTTTTTAAAGATGAATTTGGTTATTATATGTCCTTTGCTTTTCCATATAAATTTTAGAACCAACTCGTCAATTACTACTAGAAGGTCTCTTGGGATTTTTGATTAGGTTCCAAATTTTCCATCAGTCACTTTGGAAAGGGTCTCAGGAGGCTACCTGGCCCCCATCCCTAGCTTCTGTGCCCTGCCCTGCAAATTTGGCCTAAGCTCTAGGTGGCCCCTGCGTGGCCACCGCAACTCCCTTCTCCGCCAACATCGTTTCCCGAAAGAGCAGCAGTCCCCCCGAGACATTGTCCTTCACAGGAAAGCCAGCCCAGAGGGTGAAGGCTGGGGGGCTAAGGGCCCAGAACCCCAAACCCAGCCCAGAGCCTGGAGTGAGAGCCCAGTCTGGTCCTGGAGGGTAAAGAAACAAGAGTCATTGCCAAGGCCAGGGGGGCAACTCTGGATGAAATTAAAACCCCATGTGTCACTACGATGTTTAAGGCTGAAATGTTATTCCATCTGGGATTTGCTTCAAAACAATGAGTGAATGGAGTACAGATAGAACAACATTGGCCATGAGCTGAGGATTATCAAGGCTGGGTGAAGGGTACAGAGTGTTCACTGCCCGCTCTATTTTTGAATGTTTGCAATTTTTGTGATAAAAATTTAAAAAATATCCTCTCCCCAGTGAGGCAATCCCCCTTCCCCCATCATTTCCCTCCAGCCAGGGCCTGGACCCTGCTGCTCTCTGGCTAATGACGAGCCCTTTGCCATCTGCAGCGTCCCCAGTGGCTGCTCTGTCTCCCGGTGCCCTGTGCATCACAGAGCAGGCGCTGACCCTGTGGGAGCGTGACCTGGCTGTGCAGGTGGCCTCATCCAGGCGTCTCCTGATGTGGCGTTGGCAGGTGGGTTTCCGCGTCACCCCAAATGAGTTTTAAGATGATTGCACTACAACAGCTGCCACCCACAGCCTAAGGCAGGGCCCCAGGCCAGCCCCAAGCAGCGACAGCCAGCGTGGCTGACCGTTCGTAGGGAGGGGCTGTGGGAGGGGAAGCTGGGGGTGAGCGCAGGGAGGGGCGTGGGGGACACGCGGTGGAGGGCTCAGGCTTTCCCGAGAAGTGAGGCGGGGCCCACTGGTGGAGGGGCTGGAGCTGAGGAGGGACGTCACCTGCCCTGTGTTGTGACGGGACTGTGGCTGCAGTGGGGACGGTGGGAGGTAGCAGGGAGGCGGCGTGGCGGCTGCTGCGGCATCCAGGTGGGGCCCAAGGGGCCGGATTGGGATGTGCGCAGAGAGCACCGCTGACGGTTTCCTTATGGGTTGGGTGTGGGTTGAGAGAGAAAGGGTTTGGGCCTGAGCTACGGGCACCGCAGAGTTGCAACTGTCAGTGTGGGAGGATCACGCGGAGCTGCGGAGGGGACAGGTACACGCGGGAGCCTGGGGCGCAGGGAGTGGCCGCGGCTGGAGATGGAACCTGGGGAGTCGGGGTATGACGGGACCCAAAGCCGTAGACAGCAAGGGCCGCCTGAGGAGTGAGTGTAGCTGGAGAGGATGTGGAGGCCTGAGCCCTGGCGCGCACAGGTTTTAGGGTGACAAGAGGAGGAACCAGCGAAGGAGACCTCAGCAGAGCTGGCCTGGCCGGGAGGTGGGAGGAGAGCCGGGAGCGCCTGGAAGCCTCGTGCAGCCGCTGTTTCAAGGAGGAGGGAGGAAGGACCGGGTCCTGTGCTGGTGAGAGGACAGCTGTGAGTGATGGAGGGCCGGATGTTGGACTGGGCGACGCGGAGGGTGACCGTGGGCACAGGTGACCTTGACAGAGCCACTTTGGGATGGCAGAGAATGCCTGGCAAGAGTGGGGGCCATCGAGGATGTCAGGCCGCTCTCCACCCTCTCAGCAGCTATGCCAAACTTGTGCCCCAAGAACATGTGCACCAAACTGGCACGTGTCTTGCACTTGCAGCCTCTGCCCTGCTCCCCCCACACCTGGCCCAGGGAGAAGGAGGGTCTCTCCTCAGCCCTATTCCGACTCACCTCCCCAAAGCTCTGCTCCGAGCACCCTCCCCCCTGGGGCCCCACTGCCTTCCCCACACTGGCAGTTTCCATCATTCTATGTTGTCCCATCTTTCAAAATGTCCCCTTTGAGCATATTTCTTTTTTCACCAAAGTTCACAATTTCCTTTCTCTGCCAACTTTTAAAAAATAGTGTGCATGGGATCCCCTCGTGGGCTCATGACCTAGTGAGGGGCACACTGGGAGGGCAGCACGGGGTGCAGGTGCTGTCCCCAAGCCCATTTTCCCAAGTGGCCCCTTTCGGACAGGAGATGTATAGAAGAGACACCACAAGGCAGAGCCTGGGTGCAGTCCGGCCCCCTCGCCCTGGGTCACGGCCTCCTTTGCCCGTTGCATTCCGACTTTGCTTCCCCCTCTGCATTGAAAACATCCAGAAAGATGCTTCCTGGGTCCCTCTTGCACTCTCACACGGAATGGCCAGGGAGGGCGCAGCCCTCCAAATAAAGAAGGCTGCACAGAAGGGTGTCTCCCCAGGACACCCCGACAGAGACCAGACCCGCCCACCTCGGTCACAGCCCAAACCGGACTGGATCTGGCCGGAGCAGTTTGTAAAAATGCGAGGGTCAGGGGTAAGAGGTTCAGAACGAAGGCTGTTATTAGGACAAAGGAGGTGGAGGATGGGTGGACATCCAGGGGGAACTAAGACCCGGGCAGGACTGACAGTTTGCACCAAAGAAAGAGGCTGAGTGGCTTCTCTGGGCCAGGCTGAGAGATTCAGAACCAAGCCCTGGCCCTGAGTCCCAGGTGCCCCATCCTCGAATGTGCCACAGAGGAATCAACTAGAGTTGCCTGTCCAGCGCCCTGGTCCCAGCCCCATGACCCACACAGCCCAAATCGGGGCCCCTTCCCTGCTCACCTCCTCCCCTTCCCTGGAGGAGGCCTGGCTGCGCACAGCACACTGCACCCCCAGCTCCAGTCGGGAGAGCAGCGTTGAATATTCAGTATCTGGGGAGACAATAAAAGTCCCAGGAAGAACCTGGCTAAGGCAATTACCTCTGCATAAATGCATATATTATTTATCCATGGCTTTGAATATATAAATAATACTGATACAATTTGCATGCGTTAAAAGGAGATGTAATTACCCACTGATGCCTGTGAGCGCCTGGTACCCACTGGCCACATCCCTGGCCTGCCACTCGGCCCCCAGCAGCCCACCTTTGCCCTTTCTGGAGGCAGAATACGTCACATATGGGCTTTCTGCAGTTGCGAGGAAGCCCGTCTTTGATGCCCTTGGGGGTTTGGTTGAACTGTTTTTTTTCATGAACCTGTGGGCTGTTTTGGCTACCCAACACTATTCTGAAAACTTTGGGCTATTTTAATGTGATTATTATAATTGTAACTTTTAAAATCACATTTTTTAGTTAAAAAAATAATGTATGTTCATTGCATAAAATTTGGAAAATACACAAGTTTGAAAATGAAAAGGAAAACTCATTCATTATCCCGCTGCCCAGATGAAACCACAGTCCGCATTTGTCTTACTTCCTGCCAGTCTTAGTTTTCTAGGCATAAACTTTTTTTTCAAACTTAGGATCATATTATACATAATGTTTTGTAACCTGCTTTTATCTTTTACAATATGTCATGAATAGATGAAGAAATATAAAAGGCTAATAAATATGAAAAGATGCTCAACCTCACTAGTAATTAAGGAAAATACAAATTATAATAGCAGTGAGACATAAATTTTCACCTATCACATTGTTAAGGATTTAGAATAATGATAATACCCCACTGCTAGTGTGTGCATGTAGACACAGGCTCTACCAAACAATCATAGCTAGGAGGAGAGTAAATTGCAATACTTTTTTGAAGGGTAATTTAGCAATATGCATCAGAAGGCTTAAAAATATGCATGCCTTTTGGCCTCCAAAAATCCACTCCTTAGAATTTAAATGATCACACAGATAGGAGAAAATATAACAACGTGGATCATACTATTTTATCATAACAAAGATTGGAAACAGTTCTAATAGTCCAGGCTTGGGGATTAGTGTAATAAGTTATGGTCTATCCACATAGCAGAATCCATGCAGCCAATTACAATGAACACACGTGCATACACGTACACACACACACACACACACACACGCACAGATGCACACTCACTCTATACAAGGATGGGCAAAAAGGTGTTCTCAAAATAATATGCGGAGACTTTTGGCTAAATGTAGGAGGTTCACTCCTGGGCTGGCTCATGTAGGTTGGAGAGGCAGCTCTACGGGTCTGGGCTGGGCTCTCTCGAGTTTTGGGGTCAGCTGGCCGTAGGCTAATCTAGATGGCCTCCGCTGGGACAACTTGGTTCTGCCTCACATTGCCTCTCAGCCTGTAGCAGGCTAACCATGTTTGTTCATATGACAGCAGGACAGGGTTCTGAGAGAGAGTGGGGGCTGCTGGACCTCTTGAGCAGCTGGCACGCTACTGCTTTTGCTGCATTCTCTTCTCCAAAGAAATGCAAAAAGCCAGTTCAAGTTCAAGGAGTGGGAAATAGACTTGACCTCTTGAGAGGAGTTTGTGCAAAGTCACATTGCAATGGGTGTAGATACAAGAAGTTGTGAAAATTGGGGCCACAATCCCTCTTCCTCTCTCATCTCTGAAATCCTTCACCTTGAACCTCGAGTCCCATGGTCACTCTCTAGACTCTGTCATTACCAATAGCCCTTGTCCATTTTGTTCACTCCACTCTCTGAGCACCACCTTCTGCGTCTCCAGCTCACTCTTCTAGGGCCTCATCCTCTATCCTCTAAGCCCCAGAGACCTACAGTCATTAATGCCACCTTCTCCCTGTCCTCACCTCCTTTCCTCCTGACCTAGCTTAAGATTCACAGCCAATCATTGAGATCTCTCCTTGTCTTCACCCTCCCCTCCCTTGTCCCTCTCTCACTGTGCCGTACACATTGGGTAAATCACAATCCAAGTTAAATCCAATTCCTGCCAATGTCCTGATTGTGACCAGAGAAAGGTCCATAGCCACCATCACTGCTCTCATTTAAAATAACGCCAGGAATCTCCATGGGCCTTGATGTGGCCCAGCCATTGTACTGTCCCCAGTCCCTTCCCTCTCCCACCTGCTAGCCCCTTTCAAAACCTCCTCTTCCCTCGTTCCTTTAACACCTCCTCTGCCGCCCTTTCTCTCACAGATCCCACCGCCATATCCGTCCGTCACCAGAGCAGCCAGCCGTACACCCTCCAGCTTCCTCCCCGTCCCTGTAGACCAACTCTCCCACGCCAACCGTCCACTTGAGCACTCGGTGGATCCCACCCTTCTTGCCTCCTCAGGGGCAATGCCCAGCAATTCTCTCCCCTGTCCTCTGCCGGGTTTCCCTCCAATAGATCGTGCCGACTGTCCTGTGAACACACCAGTGTTTCCCCCACGTTCACAGGACAAAGAGCCTCTTTGACTTCATCTCCCTCCCCGGCTACTGCCCTTTCTCAGCTCCCCTTTGCAGCAAAATCCTCCACGTGTTAGCTTCACCCATTTTCTCCATTTTTCTTCCTTCCATTCTTCCTTAAACCTGCCAGCTTTGGGAAATCACTCACATCCAAGCCACCAGTGACTTCCTCGCTGTTAATTTTGGGGTCATTTCTCAGTTCTCAGCTTCCCTGAGCCCTCAGCAGCACCAGGCACAGTTGCACCCCCTCTTGGGAAGGCATTCCTCACCTTCCTCACTCAGCTCCCAGGACAGCACACTCTGCTGGTTTCCTCCTGCCGCACAGATACTCACCTGCTTCATTTTTTAAATTTGTTTTTATTTGTATTTATTTTTATTTTTAGAGATGGTGTCTTGCTTTGTTGCCCAGATGGAGTGCAATGGCATGATCATAGCTCACTGCAGCCTTGATCTCCTGGGCTCCTCCCATCTCGCCCTCCCAAGCAGCTGGGACTACAGCCGTGTGCCACCATGCCTGGCTAATTTTTAATTTTTTTTTTTTTAGAGATGGGGTCTGGCTCTGTAGCCTAGGCTGATCTTGAACTCCTGGCCTCAAGTGATCCTCCCAAAGTGCTAGAATTACAAGCATGAGCCATCAAACCTGGCTTCACCTATTTTATTAAGACATCCTCCTATCCCCTCTGTGCTTCCAATCTTGTTCCCCCCCCACACACAACTCATTCTACCCTTGCATCCAGAATGATCTTCCCAAGTCTCAAAACTCATTGCTATAGATACCAGCAAGAACACACCTTTTGCAACCAGTGTGTAGTACACATATTATCACCTTATTTTTGTGCTGTCAACATGAAAAAGTTTGGAAAGAACTGAGTTGGAAAATTTCTTAGATTCTCTTTTCAGGATGAGCCAGGGGTGTTGACTTTCCAGGCCTTTTCCTATCTGGGAAAGCATATCAACTGCAGCCATGCTAGACAAGTCAGGCATAAAATTTTATGGCACAAAATTCTTTCCCACATAACTCTATAGGTTTTGCTTCATGTTGTCTTGTGTTTAGTGTATTGTGTAGGTCTAATTGTGGTTCTTCAGAGGCAAATTTTTTTGTCTGCCTATATCCCTATGGGGTTTTATTCTTATAATAAAAGAACTAACAGAATATGTCTATGTGTATATCTCTAGTAACTAATTTGAATATTTTAATCTGCAGGTTTACTAATTTATTCATTTTTTGAAAAATTTTCTTCCATTGTTAGTAATAATTAATATCTTTAATTATTACTTCTGGTCCATTTTCTTCTCTCTTATTCAAGGACATCAATTAATTCAGCAATACCTATTAATTCATTGTTGGTTACCAATTAATCGGTCTCTCCTTTGTCATTTATAGCAATCTTTTTAAAAACCTGCTTTTCTTTCCTTGACTTTCTGAAGAGTTTCTCACATTTTCCCTCACAGCACAGATTCAGTGTATTGCAGGGCTGATTTTTTTTTTTCATTAATGTTTCTTCTCATGCCGGTTTAATTATGCGGTTTCAGTTTTATTTCATGTTGCAGTATTTCTAGGGGTGATGCTCCTCTAATTCCTGCTGACCTCGTCACTAGATTCCTTTTCAACTAATCTTTGGTCTTATCATCTTCTGGTTTCATAATGTTCATGTTTTCTTGACTTTTATTGAGAGAACAAAACAAAGGCTTTCTAAAATTTACCTTTGCTTCCTATGGAAAGAGTTCTCTGAAACTTTGTGCCTTCCCTACAGCTTTCCCATTTCCCAACGCAGAATCTTCTGGTAAGCGACACTGCTCCCGGCTCCCAGCTTTGCTCACGGTCACCATAGCAGTGAGCAGGCGGGTGCCCCTTGCTTCTGCCTGAGATTTCAAACAGGAAGGCTGGTGCCTGGGAACTCACTCCAGGCATCATCCTGACAGGTTTTTCTTTCTAATTTTATTATCGAGTGTGGATTTTTTTTGACTTGACAAGAAATATCTTTGTTAAGCTGCCAAGTCATGAGGAGTACGAGATAGTCCCAGGAACCCTGAACTCTGTAGTTCTTTCCTGGCAGGAAATAATTAGAGGACAACTACAATCCCCAGAATGCACCTCTCCTCTCCTCCCTGCGCTCTGTCTGGCTCGCTGCCCCAGGAGTCTCCCAACCCCAGACTCTGGCACCCAGCAGCACTTCTCTGCTGGAAACTGTGGTTCAGGAAGGCTTTAATTCCAGGAGGGGACGCGAAACTGCTCTGGTTGCCCTGGGAAGTCTCTGCCCAGCAGGGAGCAGCTCCCTTCTCAGTCACCGAAGGCCCAGGGGAGTCCAGAAGAAAGGACGGTGACGTAGGTCACCTGCCATCTTTCCCCTCCTGTCCTCTTGGTTCCAGTTGCTATGGAAGCCTTTCCCGTAGGCTGGCAGATCCTTGAACCAAAGCCCTGGTCCAAAGCACTGATGAGACCTGCCAATGTCTGTGTGTGTTGGATTTGGAATGGTAGGAGAGAGTAAGGCCCATCTAGAACGTTTTCTAGTTCATTTTACAAACTGTCATAATTCCCATCATGTTAGAACATGCTCTCACATCCATCCCGTCATTTTATTCACAATAATCTGTTAGGTAGGTACTAATATTAGCCCATTTTACAGATGGAGACAGAGAAACTCTGAGAGGTTATACAAACCTTTCCAAGGCCACCCAACTGGTCGGTGACAGAGCTGGGATTCAAGGGCAGGTGCCTGGCGGCTGCCCTGCTGGGAAGAGTAAACCTTGTCACAACTGCCTGCCTCAGCCCTTCCCAGACACCCCCCAACAGCCTGCCTTGCCCCAGGCTGCTCACCTCCCCCTCCCAGCAGAGAGGAACCAGCCCTGTCCCCTGCATGAACCCTGAGGCCTGCAGCCCTCAGCACTGTCCCCTCCCACACAGAGGCCCTCTCCTGTGCCCCGTGCAAAGTGCTGGCCACAGCGTTCCCCAGAACTGCTCTGCCACCCAAGGCCAGCCTTGGGAGGGGCCAGGTCCTCTGTGCTCACTAACCCTACCCCCCATCACCCCCCTTCCCCCTACCCCCCCTGAGCCAAATTTTCTGCCGCTGACCTGCTGACCTCCTCACTCTCCCTCCATCACCACCGGCCTCCTCCACCCCACCCCTTGGACTTGGGGGCCACACAGAAGGAAGCCAGGGTCCTCCAAGCCTCCAGGCAATTGGGAAGGGGAAAGCCTCCTTTCTCTGGGGAGGAAGGAGCAGGAACCCCCATTCTCTGGGTACCCACTGTGTGCCCGGCTGCGACAGGGCTCTCTCATATGGTCACCTTCTTCAACTCTCTCCGCGGCCCCCGGGGCTGGGCATTATCATCTCTGGGATTAAAATGAGGGGTCTGAGACTCCCCACGGCCTTGTGGCTTGGAGCTCCCCAGTCCCTGTTCCGCCCTGCCCAGCATCTCCCCTCCCCTCCTGACCTGCGGCTTTGAGGGGTCCTGCACAGCCCCTGGGGGTGTCGCTGTCTGGGGGACGACTCTCAGCCCCACCAGGTCCAGGCCGGCCCAGTACCCAGCGCTCCTCAGGCTCAGCGGCTGCGAGTGATTCATTGCGTCTGGTGCCCGAGGCTAGGTACAAGGACCCGGGGGGATTTGGGTTAAGGTTTCTCTTCCTTGAACATGCTCACTTGGCAGGAATCCACACGTCCCTTCAGAACCCTTTGCCTCCACAGAGAGAAGCTTCTGGAGCCAACACATTTTCAGTCTGACCTTGCTGCTGCGAGAGAGGAACTCTGTCTAACAACCCCCTAGAAAGGTCGCCTGCTCGTGTCTGGATTAGTGCATGGTAATGGCCACACGGCGGCCTGAAATGAATGACGGGGCCCCCCAAAGACCTCTCTGATTAGCCGGCTGGGATGGCGGCTGCCGGGCGTCCAGCTCCCCTTCCCTTCCCTGCTGAGTTAGCGCCCCAGATCCCTGCTTGTGTGGGTCAGCTATTAAACATAAGCCAGTCGACACCACTGCAGGTCCGGAAGGCAGACGTCTAGGCAGGCTTCCCGGATCGCAGTACACGGCTTGGCACGTGGTGAGGGCGGGCTCCTGGCGTCACTGCGCATGCGCGTTACGTGGGCGTGGCTGGTGCGCTGAGGGCGGGGCTCAGGCTCAGCGGGGACCTGGCTGGATGCCACTCAGCCTCTCCAGCTGTCCCCTACTTTACCCCATGGCTCTTGGTTCCTGCTGTAGACTGTCTTGCTTTTCAGAGTTGGGACTGTAAAAATGAGATGATAGGTATGAATGCTTGGCAGAGTACTTGGCTCATGCCAGCTGTTTTTATTTAGGTTAAGCCAGCTTGGTAGGCATTATTTATTAATAATTATAGAACTCTATAAACATTTCCCATGGAGATTGCAGGATACAAATGTCTACATATGGTACGATGTCTACAAGTTTATGTTCTTGTAGTCTACGTGTCTGTCTACATCCACTCGCTCCTCCCTCCCTAAGTCCCCATCCCATCCTTGGACATCCCCTCTGGGCTAGAGGCCAATCAGGGCAGGTGCTGCAGGATCAGCGAGTGTCCCTGTGTGTCTGTCTCAGTGCTGGCGTGTGTTGGTGCATGGCTGTGGGTGTGTAGCAATGTCTGTAGTGATGTCTCCATGTGTCTGTGAGTTTGTGCATGAATGTGTCCGTGTGTATTAGTCAGCTTGGGCTGCTATAACAAAATGCCATAGACTGAGTAGTAAACAACAAACATGTACTTTCTCACAGTTCTGGAGGCTGGAAATTCAATGACCAAGGTGCTGACAAATCTGATTTCTGGCAGGGGCTCCCTGCCTGGCTTGCAGACAGCAGCCTTCTCACTGCGTCCTCACGTGGCCTTTTCTGTGTGCTCAGGCAGGAGAGAGAGAGAGAGAAAAAAAGAGATCTCTGGTGTCTCTTCCTCTTCTTATGGGGCAGCATTCCTATCAGATTAGGGTCCCACCCTAATGACATCATTTAACCTTAATTACCTCCCTAAAGGCCCTATCTCCAAATGCAGTCACACTGGGGGTTACAGCTTCAACATACACATTTTGAGAGCACACAATTCAGTCCATAACAATGGGGGACTTGTGTGTCTGTGTGTGTGTGCATTTGCTCATGTGATGTGTATGCCGTGTGTCTGTCTGCAGGTGTGCCTATGCCCCTCTGCGTGCAGCTGGGCTGGGAGGGGGTGGTGAGGAGCTGCACCTGCCAATCACCCCCTCCCACCTGAGGTGGGGTGAGGCAGGCCGGGGCGCCAACAGAATCAAGCTCCTCTCTGCCGATCTCTGCCGATCAAGATCTATAAATAAAGTTGTCTCCCTGGCATGTTCCACACCACATGCGGCTCTTTAATAAAATTGGCTGAGATTTGTGGATAAGCCTGAAGCAAAGTCAATGCTCAGTGTCAATCCCACGCTAAGAGGGGCCTTCAGGGGTCAAGCTGCTTCCTGTATATGATTCCATATCAAAGATATGTCAGCCGGGCGCTAACCAGCTCCTGCGGCGCAGGGGGCCGCCCAGCGCTGACTGGGTTCACATTGGGGTCCCCAGGCGGGTGCCAGTGTGGTGAGTGGGGAGGAGGGAGGGGAACACAGCCTAAGCCAGCTTCTCTGTGGGACTCAGCTACTCCTCAGCGGCTTGGGGACTCCCAGCATCTCCCTGTCTGCACAGCAGGAAGGTGGGAGGTCGTAGCTTCTGCCAGCTATTCTTCAAAGCTTCCAGCTTCCAGGTGTAGAAGGGACATCTAGGGGGATGCGGCTGGTGTCTCCCTAGGCCTCTGCCACTCCCCAGAGGCTGCAGGGAGCCTCTGCCCAGAGCCATGCACACGGAGTCTGCCGAGGGGGCCCGGGGTCACCCCTTCCCCAAGCTGCCAGCCGATGGCTGGGGTCCCCTGTGTGTGGATGACTCAGTGGATTCTGTCCAGCTCTGGCCACTGGGGAGGGTGAACATCTAATAGGCATGCTGGCCACACTCGATGAGGCAGAAAGAGGGGAAATCAAAAGAAGTTTGGTTTAATTAAGTATCAGGGAAGATTTATGCAACTTCCTCTCCCCGTCATAAATATTAATGAGGGTAGGCAGCAGCCGCTCCTGCAGCCTCCGTGAGTCGGCCAGAGAGAGAGCTGAGGACAGGGCTGGGGGCAGGGAGGGCAGCAGCCCCTCAACATGCACACACACGCACACACATGCACACACACACTGGGTCTAGCAGCACCTACAGGGGGCAGCCAGTGGGCTGGGAGTCCCTGCAACGTACATGACCCCTCGGCCAGGAGGTCCGGGAAAGTGAGCCGGCCCCTTCTTGCCCGCTGATCAGGCTGCGCGTTGGGGCAGGGCTCTCTCAGCCAGCCTTGCCCATCCCTGTCTTGTGGCTGAGGGGAGGCAGGAGTGTGACAGCGAGTGACAGGGTGGGGGTCTATGTGGGGTGTGGGGACCCTCCACTCCTGGACCGGGTCAGGGTGGTGTGTGTGCGTGTGGACAAGGCTGGGGGGAGAAGGTGGAACGAGGCGTCCGGGAAAGGCTGCGTTAGGCTGGCTTCCCTGGGGCTGCGTGGGGGCAGCAAGGGTGGGGCCGGAGCCAGACTGTGACACCCGTGCTGTCAGGGTTCTCCGGAGAAGCAGAGCTAGCAGGACGTGGATGTGCAGTGGAAGAGATTTATCATGAGGAATCGGCTCACATGACTGCGGAGCCTGAGGAGCCCCCAGACCTGCCCCCAGACCTGGTGAGCCGGAGGCCCAGGACCGCCAGGGTGCAAGTCCAGTCCGAAAGCTGCAGGCTCAAGACCCCGGAAGAGTTGATGCTTCAGTCCCAGTCTGGAGGCAGGAAAAGACTAACATGCCAGCCAGTGTCAGGCAGCAAGGGTTCCCCTTCCTTAAGGTGGGGTTGGCCCTCTTCATGTTTCAGGCATTTGACTGATCTGCTGAGGCCCAGCCTGGTTAGGCCCACTGGCTTCTCCCAGTGCACCGATCCAAGCGTTCGTCTGTCCCAGAATCACCCTCACAGGCACACTCAGGGTAACGTGTGACCAAATGTCTAGAGCAGCGCAGAGCGGCCGGGCTGCCCGCAGGATTGCAGCCTCTGTGCCGGACACACTTGGCATCGGGCTCAGCGGTGGGGGGCAACACCTTCTGATTCACCCCCTGAATGTGCCGAGGTGCTGTCAGCCAGGGAGGAGACAGACAGCCTTGTCCCACCCCTGTGCACCTGTCCCCAGCCCTCTCCAATGGGCCAAGGGCTAGAGAGCAGGCAGCCAAGACCTGAGCCTGAGAAGCCAGGGCGAGACTGTGCATGAGCCCAGACATGGAGCCCCTGGCCCCGCCACCCTCCCAGACATCACCTACAAAACCTTTTTTGTATGCAAGTACCTTTCCTAGTGTGTTATTTGTCTTCTTAGTCTACTTTTCTACTATTTTTCTACTATTCTACTTCTTGCACATTAAACTTTCTAAAATTTGAATTTAATGATCTTTTTTTATGGCTTCTGGTTTTTGTGTCTTAGTTATAAAGCTCTCTCTTTTGACAAGATTATTACTTTTTAATATCTGCTGTTATAATACCCTTTATGTTTTTTAGCTTTTTGTGGAACAGTTTTGACATAAGGAGTGAGGTAGGGATCCAACTTAACTTTTTCCCAGATGGTTGCCAAGTTGTTCTAAGACCATTTATTAATACCCTATATTTTCCTTTTGGTAAGAGATGCTGCCTTTATCATATGTTAAATTCCCATTTCTTACTGGATACATTTTGGGGCTCCATTTGATCAATTGGCCAGTTTTTCTACTCTTAAACCATGACCACAGCATTTTAATTACTAAAGTTCAGTAATTCGTCATAATATATGCAAAAGCTAGTTCTTCCTCATTGTTCCTTTGTTTTCCAGAATGTTGCTGTTATTTTTGTATATACTTAGTTTTCCATAGAAACTCTATAATTGGCTTATCTTTTTAAAAAGTCCTGTTGGTATATTTATTGTGATCTTATTAAATGTATATAGTAATTTAGGAAAATCTGACAATTTTTAAAGCTTTAATCTCCAAATTGAAAAAAGGAAGCCAATTATTTGCTACTTAGAAGGAAACATCAAGAAAAAATGACACAGAAAATAGACAAATAATGGGCAAAGATGTTTTCAAGCAAATACAAGGGAAAAGAAAGCAAAAGTGGTTATATTGCCCCATTTTATATTGATCACAGTTACAATTATGTGCTTACTAACATAGCATCAGAATATATAGAAAGAAAAATTGGTTAGAAATGTAAGGAATGAACGGAAATAATTGTTGGGGGAGGCTTTAGGAGTGCTATTTCAGTCTTTCGTATACAAGTAGACGAAAATTTTTTAGTTTTGCAAATAATATGGCCAAATTAAAAGATACATTTAATTTTGTACCTTGGTAATAAAAACTATGCATTTAAAATATTCTTAGAAAATTTATAAAAATTGTTCGCATAGCTGGCCAGAGAAATAATCTCAACACACATGTGTTGAGATGCCTTTGTGACCACAAGTTGAAGTTTAAAAATTTTTGAAAGCCACTACCTAAAAAGACTCAGGTATGTGTGCAGGGGATTTATTGAAACATTATTGTCATTGCAGAAAAAAGGAGAAACAATAAAATCCCATCAAATAGTACATTTAAATCATAGAGTACTATCTCCAGTTAGATACCTTTATGTAAAATTTAAAAACAGGTAACACCACACTATATATTTTCATAGACACACAGCTTATGTAGTAAAAGTTTAGAAACATGGAGGAAAGAATATACTCAGCATCCAGACAGCGGTTCTCTGGGGGGAGGAAGGGAGAGGAATAGGATAATGGGAGAATTTAGAAGAACATTCAACTGTCTGTAATGTCTTATTTCATTTTTCAAAGATTTGAAAGAAAAGCAAAAAAAAAAAAAAAAAAAAATCAAATTCCAACCCCCCAGCAAAACAAGCCAGACATTTAAAAGTTGGTTTTATTGGTGAGTCCCTTTAATCTTACGAGCAAGAGAATTCCCATGCTATAATAAATTGTTCCAGAACATAGGAAAATTGTGCAAAATTATCTAGTGTATCAGACAGCTATTGCCATAGTAATTCTACATAACAAACCACCTCCAAACTACATGGTTTAAAGAAACAATCATTTATTCTTGCTCTCATGCCTATAGGCCACCTTGGCATTGGCTGATCTTATCTTGGCTTGGCTGGGCTTGAGTCCAAGCTGAAGGTAGGGTCCAGGGATGTTCCCTATTTATCTCATGTTTTGGGCCAGTAGACTAGTTGGGACACGTTTTCTCAGGGTGATGGCAGAATTGTGAGATGGCAAGCACACTGCACAAGCACATTTGAAGCTTCTGCTCTTAAAACTTTCACTCATGTTTCATTATCCAAAGCAAGTCACATAGCTGAACCCAATGTCAAGGGGTAGAACATATACTCTGCACACCATAAAGACATGACGAAGGCGTAGATGTCTAATTCTACTACAGAGGATTTAAGATTTGGGTCCATGGATTCAGTCCAATTCAATCTACCTTACCTATTTCATTTCATGGAGCTGGTAGAATCTGAGGCCAACACTGAACAGAGATAGCACAAAAATTTTAAAAAGAAAAATAAAGAAAGTTATAGATAAATCTAATTTATGAATTAAGATGTGAAAAATCCTTTTAAAATTAGTAAATTAAAATCAACAATAGTATTCATAAAATCTTTGATAAGCAAGTATGATTTATTGCAGGATTTCAAGGATTGCTTATAAGTAAGAAACCCAATAACATAATACATCACATCAGAAGGATCAATAAAAATAAGAGGTAACCTCAATAAATGCAAAAAAAGATGGAATAAAATTCAACACTCATTATTACTTTTTAAAACCTCTTTAAAACCAGGAATAGGCCAGGTGCGATGGCTCATGTCTGTAATCCTAGCACTTTGGGAGGCCAGGAGTTCAAGACATGCCTGGGCAACATAGCAAGATCCTGTCGCTACAAACATTTTTGAAAAATTAGC